AAGGGGAAGGGAGTTGTCTGAGCAGTCCCACTAGTCCCCCTATAATTGTAGTCACAGCCTGGGCCCCTTGGAGCTTGGACTGTGTATCCTGGCTGCTTCACATCTCTGGGCCTCTGTGTTGGTCATTCCTGTTTCCCAAGTGGCTTTTCTCTGCCACTTTATTCTTGGAATATGCCCCTCAATTCTCACCCGTGGCACCCCTTGCCTCCAACCAGTGGGGGGGCTCTCCCAGGGCTTGGGGACTCACTTACCATGGCGGCAGGCAGGTGATGGGTTACGGTGAGAGTGGGAACTGAACTGGGCCTGTGGCTTTCAGGAAGTGACTGTGGCTTCTGCTCCACAGGCCCCATGGGTGGAGAGGGCAGAGGAGGAAGGAAAGGAGGCGGGGACAGCCCGGGCTTGTCTCCAGATCCTTCCTGTCCAGCATGTCTTGAGTTCCTGACCTGCCTGCTACTGTCTCTGCATTGCATGCATTGGGGGTCAGCACATTCACAACACGGTCACCAGTTTCTTGGCTCTCTGCTGTGCCTCTCCCCCTCATTCCCACCACATGCCCTGCTAACCTCTGGGCTCCAGGGAGGACTTGGTGCTAGACCTCCTGCCAGCAGAGCCAGGCAAAGGCCAATTTCAGACAGAGCCTCCAGGGGGAGTTCTCAATGGAGAGGGGGCACAGTCTGTTCTGGGCCGGAGACCAAGGAGTCCAGTGAGTGTGATGGGTGAGGCCTTTTTAAAAAAAATACTTTTATTGATTTCAGAGAGGAAGGGAGAGAGAGAGATAGAAACATCAATGATCAGAGAGAATCATCGATCGGTTGCCTCCTGCATGCCCCCTACTGGGGATTGAGCCCACAACCCAGGCATGTGCCCTTAACAGGAATCAAACCCAGAACCCTTCAGTCCACAGGCCGACAATCTATCCACTGAGCCAAACCGGCTAGGGCAGGTGAAGCCTTTTTGCTCATTACCTCACCTGCCTTCCTCATGTTAACACTTCTCTGTGGTCCAATTCCCAGTTTTGAGCAAGACTTCCCTGTTGCAGGGGCAAATGTTACATGGGCCATGGATGGCCCACTGAGATGGCAGATTTGAAGGTGAATAGGTGGGTAGTATCAAAGGTTTTGGCCCCTGGGGAGGGCGTCCAAGGACTAAGGATGTGAAGAAAATCCAGGCAGCGTGGAGGCCAAGGAAGATGGGGTAAAGGTAGTGGGCAAGACCAGTGCAGTTAGGATGTGGGGCCCAGCCAGATAAGGTCCCCTGGAGGTCAGTTCATTGGGAGAGTGCAGAGCCCCGGTTCTGTTTGGCCATGCATTGGGGTTGTTTGAGGAATTTACAAAGAAAGACATAGAAGCACCCAGAAATTCTGACTTAATTGGTTTGGGTGTGGCCACACTTAGACACTTGCTGAGGGATTCTAATGTGCAGCTAATTGAGAAACACCGGTGCCCATCAGTCACCTGGCATCTGTCCCCATTATTAAAATGCAGAGCCGAAACCGGTTTGGCTCAGTGGATAGAGCGTCGGCCTGCAGACTGAGAGGTCCCAGGTCCCGGTCAGGGGCATGTACCTGGGTTGCGGGCGCATCCCCAGTGGGGGGTGTGCAGGAGACAGCTGATCGATGTTTCTCTCTCATCGATGTTTCTGACTCTCTCTCCCTTCCTCTCTGTAAAAAATCAGTAAAATTAAAAAAAAAATTATAAATAAATTAAGTAAAATGCAGGGTCTGCTTCCAGTCAGTGGTGAGGCCTCAGTATCCGCAACATCCCAGGTAATGCCCATGCTGCTAGTTTACAGATCACACCTGGCAGGTGGATCCTATAAGTTTCCAAAAGGATCCAGAAAGATTTAGTTGAGACAGGGAAGGAGGCTCTGTCTTGAGGACTGGCATTCCCAGCAGGAGACCTTCTTTTGCCTGCCCTGCCATGAAGGCCACAGGCAGCACATCTGGAAATGACTGCCTGTTTCTATGTCTGCTTTAAGGGTACAGCCTGAGGATTCTGCACAGGGACATGCATTCTCAGTCACATTTCCAGATGTGGGTCCTCCTCTGAAGAGGGGTTCCAGGAGGCCAGGGATGATGAGATTTGGGTCCTCTCTGGGTCTCCAGGACCAGCCACCACCTCACAGGTTTGGTGAGAGGGCGAGGATGAGAGAACAGGGATGACTGGCTGAGAAAGCTGAAGGATTTCATGAATGACAGCCAGCGATTCCCCAGGCTCTGGGGAGACTCCTGGGTGTGTGGACAGCTTCAGCACAGAATTCTAGAGGGTCCCTCCCTGGCTGAGCCTCTGGGGAGAGCCCACAGGCTCCTGGCACAGTCCCCAGAGGGCACATGACCCCCAGTCCTCTTTGAATGTTTGGCACCTTTCTGGAGGCACAAAGCCTTAAATGTGGACCTGCAGCTACAGTTGGAGCTGGGGAACCAAAAGCCAGAAGTGAGCCTGATCCAGCGTCTGCCTTGGGAAATGGGTGTTGGTGGGGGTTCGTCAGGCAAGTGTGTGGAACTCTGAGGGCCAGGGAGGTGAGCTGGGGTTCTGAGCGTGCGTGGGGAATTGAAACTGGTGCACCCAGGCCCTGTGCAAGAGCCAGGAACAGTGCACCTGCCTTCCCTAATGTGGGTGGGTGGTGCGGGTTGGGGGTTGGCAGCTGGTGCAGCCACTTAGAGGACTGAGCACGTGGGTGGTGGGTCCTGAGGCCACAAGAAGTCAGGAGCCCCGGACGGGGGGTGCTCAGCTCAGATCAGGAACTTTACCTCCCCTTTCCCAGCTGAGGGGGCACCCACCAGTGACACCAGCAACGGAACTGGTGCTGGACAACTGCCAGGCGGTGGATGGACACTTGGAGTGGCTCAGCCTGTTCAGCATGAACCTGCAGTCTCTGGCCCACCTGCCTACATGGGGGCAGCTGTACAAGGCGAGTGCTGGCCTCCTCTCATTCTCCCTCAGACTGATACTCCTGGGTGCCATCTGCTGGACATGCTTGGGCCTAAGAGGACAGCTTTCAGGCATCCTGGAGTTGAGGTGGGGGACCTTCTGTGTGGTCATAGGTTAGCCAGAAGGAGGGCAGGGACTGCAGGAGGGTCCTGAGTCAGTGAGTCCCTAGAAGGGACACTGGGAGCAGTGATAAATTTCAAGTGAGCAGACAAAAGATTGTATATGAGTTGGAAGAGGATGAGGGAGGAGGTATGTTTTGGAGTGGTCAGGGTACCCAGCCAGCTCCTTAAGCCTCAGGGCAGAGTTCCCACTGCCTTCAAAGGGGCAGTAGGAGCTATGGGCCCTTAGTTCTCACGGGAGTGGTGGCTGCATCTATATGGGTGATGGAGTGGGTATGGTGGGTGTTGGGGGAACTGGACCAAGATATTGGCTCTTGGTCTCTCTGGAAAAGTCCTGACAGACTGGATTTGGGGATGGCTGAATGAGGACTTGATGGGGAAGAAAGCTAGGGGGGTTGGTACCCTGGGGTCCTGGGGAACCAGAATCACTAATTCCTGACCCTGGAGATACAGGAAAGCCTGGGACTAGGGCTTTGGGAATGTGGACCCTGCTGGCTGGTAGTAACCGTGCCCAGCTCCGAGGGTGGTGCAGACTCAGTGAGTGACTTGAAACTGGGCCTGGCTAGAGAGTTAGTGAGCTTACCCACCTACCTTCACCTTCTCTCTCTGTAAAATGGGCCCCTTGACCCTGCCCCACCTCCTCCCCAGGCTCTTGCAAAGGTTGAGGTAGCCATGGGCTTGGTGGCTGGAGGGATGTGAATCACTTGCAAACATTTCCCAAGTCCCCACCTTCTCTCCTCAGTCTCTCTATGAATCCTCACAAAGGATCCAGGGATGAGCATCAAGGCACTCATTTAAGACTAAAAAGTGAGATGCAGGAAAGCTGATGGCCACACAGTCATGGCTGTAAGGCCTCTAGCTGAGAAGGGGGAGCTCAGAGGGCCCTGGAGCCGCTTCCCCGATGGCCCATCTAACTCCACAGCTGGTGCTGAGTAACAACCATCTCAACAGGGTCTGCAGGGGTTTACTCGTGTGCTTGCTCACAGGAAGTCTGTATTCAAGGAGGAGAAGGGAGAAGATGATTTGTGTGGCCTGGGAAGGGAATGGGAAGGTTCAAGATGGGGGCCTTGTGAGCTACTAGGAGAATAGGATCTTCATCTAGAGAACTATAGGGAGACACTGAAGGGTATAGGAAGGGGAGGGACACAATCAGAAGAGACCCATTTTCAGGGGTGTTCAGACTCGGGGGGAAGGGCAGGAGGAATTGCTTCTGGTGCCCAGGAAGGGTAGAGGGCAGAGGCCTGGGCTAGGGGTACCATGGGGCTGGAAGGTAGTAGAACCCACCTGAGTGGTGGCTGCCAATAACACCTGGGACTTCCATACCAGGAAGCTTGGCCCACAGATGTCAGTGACAGCAGGGCTGAGACAGCAGTGTGGCACCAAAATTCCAACCCTGGCCCAGGCCTGACTTCCCATGAAGGAAGGGAAGACAGGACCAGGATGGGGAGGGATAAGGAGGGAAGGGAACTCAGGCTCTCCAGGGCTGACCTTGACCCACTGTTTTCTTTAGGGCTGGGGCAGGGGAAAAATCCAGGACAAAGAAGAGGCCTGAGTCCTAGCCTGAAACAGAATGCCCAGCTCTGGGGCTCTTTCCTGTCACCTCCCTGTGAGTTATCATTGGCCTAAGGACCTAGAGGGCTCTAGCTGGGCCAACTCAGCACTTTCTCAGGACCAGCCTCCCTGCCTATCCTCCCCACTGACTCCCAAGACAATCAATCAATCAGTCAATCAAACTGTAAATTTCCATCCCATCTGGTTTCTGGAAGTGATTGGACAGCAGGCAGTGGCAGTACTGAGCAGGAGGCTGGTCCGTGTGGAGGTAACAGGGAAGGTGGGATATAAGTGGGTCGTGGGTAAGAGGAGGGCTGCCTTCTCAAGATGGGGGGGCCGGGGCGGGGGGTGCCCAAGACTGCCAGACAGGCTGCTGAGGGACCCAGACAGCACAGGCCAGTTCATCGCGCCTCTTTTATTATTTCCTCTCCCAATCCATTTCAGGCCCCAGTAAAATTACAAAACTACCCCCATCTCATGACCCACTCTATGCGGCATTCAGAGCAGCAAGAAAACTACACTTTCCCTTTGATAGCAGCAGCGAGCACACCTTGGGTGCAAGCGGAGCCAGGTCTAGGTGGGGCAGAGGCGGAGGTGTCTGAGCCTCAGCCCCGCCCCTCGCCTCTGGGGCCTCCATCCTCCCCACCCTGGTGCTCCAGGGCCTTACCCACCGGGCACTCGGGGCGTGGCTGCCCGGGGGCAATGGAGCGGTGGTCCTCCAGGTGAAGGGTCATGGCGGGCCGCGAGGCTGTGGAGAAGGTGCACTGCATGCACGAGTAGCGACCACGCGTGTGCTCCCACAAAATGTGCCCTGCGGGCAGGCGGGACCCTGTCAGTCCCGGCCCCAGCCCAGAGGTCTGGTCCATCACCGAGGACGGTGGTCACGGGCGAGGGCGCTTCGGACATTTATCCATTCCCATCAGCTCCCGAGTACCGAGGGGCTGTCCTGCCTGATCCATCTTCCCCGATGTGTGCCCCCCTGAAACTGGGGGCATTGAACTTGACTTCTCTGTGTCCCCCATTCCCATCCCCGGAATCCCCGCAGAGCGCGAGGTTTACATGGTAACGCCGGTGCAGATGAAGGCGCGTGGGCCAGTAATTTTTAAGGCAAAATCCTGTATTTCAGGGCTGGCACTGCTGCCTCCTAGCACCTCCTGGGCCTGGCAGGACGCAGGCCAGAAACCCCCTCCATCCCGCCCTGGTGGTCACCTGCACGCACCTGAGGGCGCGTCGGAGCCGCCCTGGGGTCTTCGAGGACTGCCACCGGCACCTGTGGTAAATAGGCGGGTCAAGGTCACAAATCGGAGCAAACTCAGCCCACCCTCTGGCGGCCCTGCCACGGCACTCACCTTGGCTCTTTTTCCAGACAGCGGCGCTGGAGGCCGGCAGCCCAGGAGCGGCAGCCAGGAAGGGGCGCAGGCGCGTGGGATTTAGGCCAAAGGACGCGGGGTTCAGGTAGGGCCGAAAGGGCCCACTGGGGGCAGGGGCGGGGGTCGCGTAGGGCTCGAGCGGGTGCTGCCAGCCTGTCGCCGACGCAGAGTCAGATTCCGTGGGGCGCTCGAGCGCGGAGGGCTCCTTGTCGAGGGCAGGGGCTGGCGGTGGGGCTGGGCTCTGCGCATGCTCAGCGCAAACATGCAGATGCTTGAAGAGCGAGCGGTGCGTGCGGAAGCGCAAGAGGCAGTTCTCACACCTGGGGACGAACACAGGCCTGGCTGGGTCTCCTGGGCACCGAGAAGGGGGCCCAGACCCAAGTCACAGATGACCCAACTGCGGGGTAGGAACTGGTCCTCAGTGCCCCCTACGCTGACCGCGACCCTTCCGGACCCCTCCAGGTCAGAGCCCTGGGAAAAGGAAGAGGTCTCAGCCTTGACTTAGGTGGTCAGCTTTCCTCTTAGAAGCTTCAGGAGACTGGGAGGAACCACACCCACATGAGCCCCACCCCTCCCGGGTCCTGGGACCTTCTCCAGGTCCGTCTCTCTGGGACAGGTCTTGCCGAGGCCACACCCATTTTCAGACCCAAGCCCCTCCCCCATCAGCCCCCTGACTGGGAAGTAGAAGGCTTGAACCCCAGGTATTGGCTGTCACACCAGGAGCAGGAGCTGCCTAGGGCCTAGTCACCAAGGACCAGAGGAGGCTGGGTGGTCAGGGTCTCACTTGAAGTAGCGATTGGGTTTGTAGTGCAGCTTGCCGTGTGCCACCAGCTCCTGCATGCTGGGGAAGGTCTCGGTGCAGTTCAGGGCGGAGCAGCGGAAGAGCTTGCCTGGCAGGGCAGGGGCGGAGGACAGAGTGGAGTGGGGTGGCCACGGGTCAGCCTGGGAACTCTGCCTGCCTCCCACCACCTACTCTGACCCTACCTTCCAGGGACTGTGTGGGTGGGCAGTGGGTACGCAGATGCTGTGCCAAGTCACGAACGCTGGGGAAACTGAGGCAGCAGCCAAGGCTGGAGCAGGGTATCTGCTTTCCTGTAGGATGTACACAGCAGGGTCACCCATCCCTCCCCTCCCCCGTGCTGTCCAGGGCTCTGCCCAGGGAGCATATACCAGGCGGGAGTTACCCTATGGTTTCCTACTGGGTCTTTACCATCGACCGCTTCCATTGGACTGAGCTGCCAGAGGGCAGGGGCTGAGTGGACCTGGCTCATCACAGCAGCCACGCCTGGCACACACTCAGTGATATCACCAAGTATGGAAAGGCTCTGTTTTCCTTCATTCCAGGGCCTGTGCCCCCACAGAAGGCCCTATCACAGGTCACCTGGTGGTGGGCGTCGCCTGGGAGGCCGCAGGTCCTCACTGGTCCCAGAGACTGCGCTGGTTGGGCCAAGGCTAGATCCAGGGCCAGGCTGGCCCGCGCCTGGGGCTGAGGAGGCGCCCTGCTGGGCCCCGCCAGACCCTCCGCGATCCCACAATGGGGGTGTGGCTGTCTGGTCAGGCCCTGCCGCCTCCGCCAAGGAGAAGGAGGTGGCTGCAGCAACCACGCCTGGGGACACTTCCTTCTGGGTCTCACTGGAGCTGGGCTCTGCACTGATCAGCATGTCCGGGCTGGGCACGGAGGGTTCTTCCTCCTGGTGGAAAACAGAGGCGGGGAGAACCCCTCTGGGCCCAGGGTCTGCTGGGGCCAGCCAGGGGGACCCTCCCTCCCCTCAAAGACCGTGGTGCATTCCTGAAGCAGCGAATGCTCCCGAAACAAGAGCCAGTCAGCCCCATCCTAAGGAGTTACCATCCAGGGAGGCAGGCAGCTAGGCGGGAAGTGTTCCTAAAGCAGAAGTGGACCGCTGTCAGGAAGTGCTCATCGAAAGCAGCATCCCCTCTTCCCCCGCTTAGGAAGATGGGAGGCCCCCCACGTGGCCTAGAGGGAGTAGGCGGGACAAAGGCTATGAAGGCGAGGTTCCGAAGAGTGGTTAGGAAGATGCTGGTGAGGCCGGAAGTGGCCACGTGGGTTGTTTGAGGGCGGACCGGGGCTGTGCAGGTGAACTTGGAACTGTTGGGGGCCGGTGGCATGAAGACCGGGGGCGGAGCCCGAGCTCAGTGGGGGTGGCCCAGTCGAAACCAGGACCGGAAGTAGGGGGTGGGGTGGTAGCCAAATGACTAGTGACGGGGCGACTGCCCGGATGTGGGGGCGGGGTTGGCCGGAGGGTGTGTGCGTGACAGTACCGCTCCCCTCCAGTCCCCGCTGGCTCGCCGCACCCGTGTCCCCGGCGCCGCGCTCACCATCCTTGACCCGGCTAGGCCTTTTGTTCCCGCAGCTCCTGCGGCTCCGGCTGTGGCTGCGGCGACTTCCTGGGCAGCCGCGAGCTCGCGCTTACTTCGACGCCATTATCCGCCTCCCAGCTCTCGCGAGAGCACGGGCGGGACCTGCGCAGGGCTCTCCGTGAAGGGGCGGGGCCTGCGATCCGGGGACTCCTGAACCACAGAACAGCCCCCGCAGCGGGTTTGCAAACTGAGGGCAATGTGAACAGCCAGTGCGCTGAGATCCAGGATTAAAATCTTCCCTGGCCTGTGTACTCGTCTGTAAAATGGGTATCTTCAGCCCATTCCGTATCATCACCAGCCTGGAAAGGCGATAAACAACGCTCTCCTTTTTGAAGAGGTTGTGTTGACTGGCACCCTCTTTGAAGGAAGTTGGCAATGGTTGTCAACATTTTAAGAAAACTTTATTTATTGCCCTGGCCGATGCTGCTCAGTTGGTTGAGCGTCGTCCCATGCACAGAAAGGTCACTGGTTTGATTCCGGGTCAGGGCACAAGCCCACGTTGTAGGTTTGATCCCCCGCGGCAGTGCATACAGGGGCCAAACAATGTTTCTCTCACATCAATATTTCTCTCTCCCCCTCTCCTTTCCTCTTTATCAAATCAATAAAAACATTTTTAAAAATTTTATTGATTTTAGAGGAAGGGAGAGAGAGACATCCACCCGTTGTTCCACCAATCCATGATTCATTGGTTGACCCTTGAATGTGCCCCTAGGATGGAACCCTCAACCTGGAAGTATAGGTTCCATACTCCAACCAACTGAGCTACCTGGCCAGGGCAGTAGTAAAAATTTTCAATGCATTTAGTTCTGAAGTTGGAATGGGTCCGTTGTGGGAAGGAAGCTAACTGTCAGGAAGGGTGTGTTTCCAGGAGGATGGCACTGAGTGCACCAGCATAGAATGAGTCACCTGTCCAACCTACTGTGTGCTAGGTTCTGGGGACTCAGAAGTGAACAGTGCCGGCAAACATCCCTGACCTCAGAAGCCACTCACATTTTTAAATGGGAAAACAGACAACAAATGCAGAAAATGATCTTAGGTTATATTAAGTGCTACCAGAAACAGAAGGATGTGGCAGTGATGGGTCAGGGAAGCCTTTCTGTGAGGGGACTTCTGAGCTGTTGCCTGATAGGAAGGAGTGAGCCAGTGGAAGGTCATGGGGCCAGAGCACTCTGGAAAAAGTGGGTAGGTACAAATGTCCTGAGATGGGGAGGGACAGATTGTCTTTTTCAGGGAACAGCGACATCAGTGCGCTCCAGCAGAGTGGAGGTGGGATGTGAAAGACAGAAAGTGAACTTGGTGCAGAGAGGGTCATGCAGGGCTTTGTGACCTGGTTTCTATTCTAGACACTGATGAATTTTCAGCAGGGAGAGGTACACCATCTAATCCCTGCCTGTCCTTTGGAAGTTGAGCTATTGGGGGACAGTGAAGTGTTTTTGATATCAGAGCTCTTTAATACATTCTTTAACCATTCATGAGGTGTCTGAGTTCAAGGCAAGTGAGTGTCTGAGTTCAAGACTGTGTGCAATGTAATCCCATCTGTGTACATAAGATGTACCTGTATGCTTTTTTTTTTCATCCTCACACGAGGCCATGTTCACTGACTTTTTTAGAGAGAGGGGAAGGGAGAAAGAGAGAAACATCGATTGGTTGCCTCCCGCACGTACCCCAATGACGGGGCCGAGGATTGAACCCAAAACCTAAGTACAGTGGGGCCTTGACTTACGAGTGTCCCAACTAAGGAGTTTTTTGAGATACCAGCTGTCTCTCCGCTGATTTTTTGCATTGAGTTGATAGAGTAATTTGAGTTAATGAGCTCCTTAATGAGCTTGGTCTCCGAACGAATTAAACTCGTAAATCAAGGTCCCACTGTATGTGCCTGGAATGGGAATTGAACCCAAGACTTTTCAGTGTAGTGGATGACTCTCCAATCAACTGACCCACACCGGCACCTGTGTGCTCCTATATACAGAGAATACCTTTAGAAGGAGACATTAAAAATTGGGGAGAGGAACAGGGATTTCTGAGGGAGAGACAGATTTTTCACACCTTTGTGCAGTTTGAATTTAAAAACTTATCTTTTGATTATCTTTAATACAGTTAAAAACTTTAAAAAAACAGGTCATTTTGATGCATGGTGGAGAGGTGTGTGTGAGCAGGGAAGATTGGTGCATATGGGGAAGGGTGGGGTGAGGCTGCAGAAAGGACAGGGATCTAAGGAAGGGAAAGGAGGGCCTGAACTTAACAAGTTTTATGTATAAAAAAAGAGTCAATAGGATGTGGGCTATGTGGATGAGGTCAAACTGACAGGTTTGCAGATACTGTAATCTAGATGTGAGAAGCTGTCTATTACAATATGTTAAATTCACTCCCTTTTCCATACTCAGCTCCACACCCAAACCTCATTCACTCATCCTATCCAGAAGACCCTACTTCCTACATATGTGGTGCCTGCCACGATGGTAGTGGGGCCACAGAGTGAGTGTGAGGGCAGAGAAGGGAAAGGAAGCCCTGATTTCTTCCACCAGGAAAAGCCCGGCTGATCAAGTTGGTGGCTCATGTGGGTTGTCTTCCCCTCTGTCTGTCCTCACATGTAAGTCTTGCAGCAAGAGACGCACACATACTGGTTGGGCAGAGTGAGAAAATCAGAGATGGTAGGAACCAGGGACATTCAAGGGACTGGCTGGAAGCTTTTGTATAACAATGGACTAATAAAAGGGCTTTTGAGCCCTAACCAGTTTGGCTCAGTGGATAGAGTGTTGGCCTGTGGACTGGAAGGTCCCAGGTTCGATTCCGGTCAAGGGCATGGGGTACATCCCCAGGAGGGGGTGTGCAGGAGGCAGCTGATCGATGTTTCTAACTCTCTATCCCCTTCCCTTCCTCTCTATAAAAAATCAGTAAAATATGTTTTAAAAAGAAAAAAGGGCTTTTGAGACTCAGTGGCAACCTTGGGATCGCCCCCCCCCCCCCCCCCCCCGCCAGCTACACTTAACTTACCCAGGTAGGTGCAGAAGAGAGACAGTGCAGATCCTGCAAAAGGCTCAACTGGCCAGTCATCCCTTGTCCCTTCTCTGGCTCAGTCCTGACCCCACCAGTCTCCCAGGCTGGCTGCTCTTTGAGGGGCTGAGCACAGAAAAGGTGTCCATCTAGAAAGCCAGGCTCCTTAGGCTGAGACCATGGCAGAACTCCCACCTGGTTCCAGCTGTGCCTGTAAGGTCTCAACGGCTCAGATTTCAGCATGGTTTTGCAGACAGCTGGGGAGACCAGTTGCCAGATGACCCCTTCACCTGTGACCATAAGTGCAGAAAGTCAGGGCCCTAGAATGTCAGAACCTTCCAGACCATGGGTAAATGAGGGCTAAGAAGGCACAAACATGGGGTGGGGGTAGGGACCAGGGGTGGCCCAGGGTGGACTGTGGAGCCTCTTTCCTTCCTCAGGGTCCAGTCAAGTCCTAGATGGGTTTGGGGACTGCAGATTCAGATCTGACAGAATCAGCCAGACCATTTTTTGAAGGAAAACTAGGATACAACTTCTGGCAGCTGGCAAGTAGACAAGCTCAAACTTTTTAAGGCTTGGCTCTGTGGAATCTTGGGCAAGTGACGCAACCTCTGAGCCTTCATGTTTCTACCTGTAAAATGGTGCATTTGCTGCTCCTATGTCACAGCTTTCTTTTCTTTTCTTTTTTAAATATATTTTATTGATTTTTTACAGAGAGGAAGGGAGAGGGATAGAGAGTTAGAAACATCGATGAGAGAGAAACATAGATCAGTTGCCTCCTGCACACCCCACTGGGTATGTACCCACAGCCAAGGTACATGCCCTTGATTGGAATCGAACCTAGGACCCTATCCACTGAGCCAAACCCGTTAGGGCATATGTCACAGGTTTCTAAGAAGTTTGGCGCTCAGTCTGTTCATACTTCTATCCGGCAAACATTTATTGCCTTGGTGGAGAAGGAGGGAGGTCACACTTGTGAAGGCCTCTCCATTTTTCCCCATGCTTTGCTGCTAGGATACGACTCATTTCATACTCACAAGGCAGCTAGGAGGTAGGCTCTGCTGTTAGCCCTATGTGACACACTAGGAAACGGGTGTGACACGGGAGGCCAGGGCCCAGAGGTGGCTGCAGTGATGACCCTCAGACCCACCCGAGCCTGGGCTGGCCTGGAGGCCACAGGACTGGACCTTCTGGCTAATGCAGCTAAGAGGAAGGAGATCTCCTGCCAGCAGGGCCTGGCTCCCTGGCAGAGGGAGGACAGAATCCTGGGCCCCCCACTCAGATCTTCTCCACGTAGTTTCCAGGGAAGAGGCCCTCCTGGCCATGCAGCCGGCCTTTCCACCAGCCTGAGGAGTCTGTGGGATAGAAGAAAGTATGAGGCACCACCCACCCCACCCCAGAGGAACCTTCATGTTGGTTCAGTCTGTCTTACTCATTTCCACTGACCTGGCATAAGGCAGAGGCTGAAAAGAGTGATGGAAAGAAGCGGGGGGACACACACATGATTTTTCCTTGTCACTGGCTCACATTTCATCATTTTCTAGAACATTCACTTGTACTCTTACCACAGGCCCCTCCCCATAGTCTCTATGCTGGACCCAAGAATGACCTCGATGGGGCTTCCCCACCCACTTACAGAGGGTGCTGTTGAGTCCCAGGCTCCTCTGGGGGGCAGCCCAGAGGCTTACTAGTAAGTTAGGAGGTGGCCTGTCTGGATGGCCCATTTCCTACTCACAAGGGGTCTCTGAGGTTCTGCTAGCCCTGTTTGATCAGTAACAAAAATGAGGCTGGGGTACTACATGTGATGCAGTGAGACCAGGCTCCCAGGTGGCTTAGGAGGTGATCTCCACCCAATGCCTCTAGCTTATGAAGCCACTGGCTCAGAAGAGGGAAACTCTAGCTGGGCCTGGGAGCTAGCTGGCCCCTCCGTTCTCCCATTGGACGATATGCAGTAATGGGGGTTGCCTGGCTGTGTCAGGGTTCCGACCACTCCCACCTCTGTCCCAGCACACATACCTTCCATGAGGATCTCAATAACCTCATTCACGTTGAAGCTCAGCTCATCCACGTCTTGGCCCACATACTGATACAGTGCCCGGCACCGCGGGCCATG